GTTTTTCGAGTAACTGCAACGTACAGCAACAACTGTGTGCCTCTTCACAGATTAAAAAACAACGTAGCTTGGGCTACACAAAACTGCTTAAGCAGAATGAAACAAATGCAATAAATAGCAGAGTTTTTTACTGTCTACTACCTTGCTTAACTCAGGCTAAAAAATCTAGCACAGCAAACAAGACAAATTTTGGTTATTAATTGTAATTACCTGAAAAGTTTTTATTAAATTAGCGAGCAAGAAAAAAGAAAAAAATATGTATTTTTCTCTCTTTTGTCTCTCTTTGTCTCCTTTGTCTCTTAGACTCTATTTTTTCTTCTTTTCCTTAACAGTTTTTTTTTTGTTTTGTTATATAATTAACATAAAAAGACAAACAGAAAAGCGATTTACTTTTTGGAAAGTTTGTTTTATATACATAAAATCTAAATTTTATCGACAAACACATTAAGTAACAAATGAATAAAAAAGATAATGAAAAAGAAGAAGGAAGAAAAATAACAAACTGTTATAAAGAATTAAAAATTGAAAATAAATTAATAGAAAAAAGTTTAAGGCAACCCAGGTTTGGGAAGAGTTTTTTGGTTTTTGATACTGCAAGTTATGGTGAATACTCAAAGACTGAATAAAATGTAAGCCTGAATTACAGTAGTAGAAGTATTAAGCTAAAGTGTTCAGTGGTTTGTTTGTTGTTTCGTGACACTTTTGAGGAGGACCTGACGAAGGTGAAGAATAACGAACAGTAAAAAAAAAAGTTGATGAAAAACAGATATGCGTAAAAAAGTTTAAAGAATGAAAGAACAATTCTGCTGAAGAAACCTTACGGTTCATTTAGTGCGATAAACAAAAAATATTTTATATTTATTTACCTATTTTTTTTCTTCTCTTGTTATTTTTACATTTTATATGTTCTATTTAACTTCACTACAGTCACAACTGTTATTCATCGACAAAAAAAAAAAAAGGCAGAAGCTGAAAGATTTTTGGTTTTTTTTTTTTTTGCACTGCGTTCTTCTAAACAAAATTTTGGTCAAGCAAAACGAAAAATCAAAAGTTGTTTTAAGACTTTTTAGAATTTTATTTTTACGCGGTACGTATTATATTTATATCAATAGTATTTTTAGCAGTACACTAATTTTACAAATTTTTTTTTTAATTATCGTTCAGTTCAATTTTTTTTTTTCTATTTGTCGTTCTTCAACGCCCACTTTAAATTATTTGTTACAATTAATTAAGTTTCAAAGCTCACTGTGCCTGAAAATTTGTTGAACAGTTTTACGGTAATCTGATCGACTGACATTTTTGGACAACAAATAGCTTGTTTTGTTTTTTTTTTTTTTTTTGTTCGATAATTATCTGAGACAACTGATAACTTTAAATAATTTTTACTTTTTTTTTCTTTTTCAAATGGTTGTATAAAACAAAAAATAATATTTAGAAGTTCTTTGTGTTTAGTGTTTTGTTAGAAAAAAACTAGAAGGAAAACAAAAATGAGCTCTTTGTCGAATTCATAAATCATACTAATTGGTCATCTGTCTATGTCTGTAAGTGTTAGCGTAAACGTAAGTGTGTGCCTATGTATATGTGTATTTGTATGACCATTTGTCTGTGTGTGTATCTGTGTGTGTGTGTGTGTGTGTGTGTGTGGAGGTTTGAATAGGTTTATTTATCTATCTGGTCAACAATTATTGCTTACCGTTAGTTGTTGCTATTGGTGCTGATCAGTGATGATAGCTAAAGGGATGATGATGACTTAGAGAAAAACTGTGTCAAAAATTTAAGTTGCTTTAGTGTTCATCAACTCAGCTAATGCTGCCTCATTCTTTTTATCCTCTCCGCCTCATCGCACCCCCACCCTATCGTTCCCCACCTCATCAATTCCGAGCGCCGCCTCATCCTTATTCTTTTCAATTATTTTTTCATGTCTAAAACAGAAATTACGAAAAGCAGAAAGAAAAAAAAACAATTTTCTTCTTTTACTTTTTTTTTTGGTCAAACATTTATTGATCTTCACGTTGTTGAATATTTAAATGTAAAATAAGGTTTGACCATAGTTACAAAAAAAAAAATGCTACTGCTTAATGTATGAGATAAGTAAGATCTGATAGCTGAAGCTATAATACGACAAAAAAGAAAACAATCAAAGCTAACCTGATCTTCTGTTTTATCTTCTTCAGCAGTTGCTTCAGTAGTTTTTTCAGCTTCAGTTTGTTGTCGTGACTGATCTCTATCTTCAGTAACTTCTGCAGCTGATTCTTCTGTAAGCAAAAATGATAAGAAATAAGCAAAAAAAAGTGTTCAGTTGTTGTTGCTGTTGTCATCAAACTATTTCATTTAATCATTTATGCTTCTCTTTCTTTTTTTTTTCTTTTGTTTGTAAAGAATTGAAGAAAAATATTGGTTAAAAATTGTTGAAACAACTAAGTGCTTTCAGGTAAAAAAGGTTTATTCTTTATCTCTTTATAAAATTTGTATATCTTAGCACTAACATTTTTATATTTATTTACTTATCTTTTTTTCTTTCTTTATACTTTTCAATTACTAGTAAAAGTTTTTTTTTATTTCTACTTTTTATTGTTTGTTTTGTTCATTTGTGTTTTTTTCTTACATTTTCATTTGCATTTTTTTTTCTTTGTTTACAAAAAAAGAAGAAACAGTTTTTTCTGATTGTTTTTTTTTTTTTATTTTTTTTCGCACTATGCTCAATGATTTTGATTTGGAAATCGCAAAGGGAATTTGTTGGGATAACGTGGAAAAAATTTTGTTTTTGTCTCGTTAATTTTTTTGCAATTTTCAAACAATTGCGTCTGAACGAAAAACGCTTAGGCACACACAGACACAGACACAGACTCTCAGTGAAAGCAAAAATGCCGTAATATCGTCACCGACTGTGTCTGTGTGTGCCTCTGCTGTATCTGTGTGTTGATGAAGGAATAGAAGTTTTTAGCAACAACAGACAGGGGTTATTTTTAAAAATTTTTTATTCTAATAATTAGGACATTAAAAGAAAAAAAAAATTTTAAATAAATAAATAAAATAAAGAATTTTTTTTTTGCTTTGTTTTTCAAATACTATAAAAGAAAAAGAATTGGTTTTTTAAATCTTTGATACTGATAAATCCAGTAAAAAAAGAAATTTTTTTTTAAAGATACGTTAACTGTGCATAAATCTATTTGCAGGAAATGGTGTGTTCAAAGCTTGAAAATAACTGGCAAAAAGAAAAAGAACAAAAGTGATTTGAAAATTTATTTATTTTTCTTTTCTTTTTTTTTTTTTTTTTTTTT